CGATGATTCCTAGCAGTTGTCACTCCTCAGAGAGCGATCTTTGAGGGGTGTCCGGCATAGGACGTGCATGAGAAAGCATCGAGGCCTCTGTCTTCTGTTCACCTTCGCCGCCTCCGTCGAGATAACCCACCCACACCGAGGCTGGTCCGGTCCTGGCAGGTAATCACTGTTTTCTAAATGATCTAAGGAATCTATAGACTCCAGCAAATGTAAATGCGAAATCCACAGACCAGAGGCGAGTACTACCGAAGTACCCTAACAAGGTGTTTTGCAAAGTTTTCAAGCACGAAGTTCTTATCAGATCATTTTCAGTTTCCCTCTGCTTTTATAAAAGTTAGGTTCCGGGACGTCACTGGACTCCCATGTAGTTGCCCAGGGTTCGAGTCTCAGACCAGGAGGCTTAAAACATGCTGGGCATGTGGGCATGCATGCCCAGCATCCCAAGAGGACATGAAAAAGATGGGATTGCAGCTTGGCCATCCTCTCTGGGGGTGATTTCTCGCTTTCTGTCTCTGTCTTTCCAGCAAGCACATGTGCACTATGTCAAAAATCTCTTTTTAAAATAAAAAAGGTTCCTGGGTCAGCAGATGGCCTGGTGGCTAAGGCACTGGATCCTCACATGGTCAACCAAGGTTCGAGTCCTGGACACGGCAGCTTGAAAATCACAGTAGATGGCATAATGGTCGTGCCCGGATTCTGATGTAGACCACCACGGCTCAAGTGCTGAGCCCGGTCATTTGAAAGTCACGCCAGGCCAGTGTGCATGTGCATCCAAAATCCAGAGAGGTGACAGGGGGAGATGGGACTGCAATGTGCCACACACCCCCACCCAGCGAGTGATATCTCGCTTTCTATATCTCTAGCGGAGGCACACACCCTATAGCAAAAGTCTCGTTTAAAAAGTGATCACAATAAATAGATAAACAAATGTTTTTTTTAAAAATGATTCAGTTCCTGGGTAGATTATTCTTCTGACCATTTGGTAAAAATAAAGTAAAAACACTACAAATCAAGGACATATTTATTAAACGGGCATAAGATGAGCAACACTGACCATACGGGCAAGAGAGATGTGGGCATTTCATTTATCCAAGCCTCTCACCGCCTTCCCTGTAGGCAGCGAGACTCACCAGCTGCTGGAGCAGGCTGGGAGTGTTGTTTACAAGGCACAGGCCTGACACCCAGCAGAAAATAACCACGAGCGAGACACTATAATTAACAGAACACAAAACGTATTCGTCTGTGACCTAAAGAGTCTAACGAACTGAGTAAGAGAGGACAGACTTCAAGCACCAGGAGGGGCTGCACAGGCTGAGTTCCTGGGCCGACACAAACAAGTGTGCCCAGCGACCCAGAAGTGAACCCGCGTCAGGCAAATAAACAGCATATACAGAAACACAGCAAATACGGTAACTCAAAGTGGTTGAAGAACTAAATAAGCAAACATCAAAAGTGGAATTTTCACAGGGCATAGAGATGTAGGTCACCATCTGGTTGGAAGCCACACACAAGGGCAGGGTGGGGGGATGACAAGTACCCAAAGAAAGAGGTATTTGAGATTACTGGCAGGTCTTGTTTAAATGAGGGGAAAGGACCATATGTAAGATTGTTGTCCACTGTCTACAAACGTGATTTGATCATAAAGTTTGTAAATCATATGCCAATAATCACATATTTTGGCTTTATCAGCTGGGGTTAAATCTATAAATTTTTATGAAAACAAATATGTGAAATTCACAAGCAACTTCATTTTTCCGATAAGGTGCATGCACTTTCCAAAGACAGACAGACAAAGAGAGAGAGACCACTCCAGGGCGGCCGGGCACATGGGGCAGCGCAATCCCTTCTCTTCCACCCTCCTCGCAGGATCGTGGACACGTGACATGCTCATGTGGCTGGCGTTATTTGCAAGCTGCCAGGTCCGGGACTCAAACCACAGAGACGGCCATATGGGAATCTAGCACTTTAGCCAGTGTGCCACCTGCTGGCCCCACAAGTAACATTTTTTCAAGTCTAACAAAATCAACAAAAATGAGTACCTATTTGCAAAACATTACCCAAGTTAGTTTATGCCTCCACTGATGATGCAGAAGCTGTCAAATACACCTTTCTTTCCAAAAGTACTAACCCTAAGCCTCTGGATGCAAACCAGTACCTCATCAGCAACCCGATGCTCCGTGGAGACACTCGGAGGGTCCCTCTTAGTGGTCCTCGGCCATCATCAACAGTCTCCCCCAGGCCAGGAGTTCAGGAGCTATTCTAACTCCTCTCAAAATGCAGCACCCAACACCAACTCATGGCCAAGTTTACCACCAGGAGTTCCGGGACTCAAACCACAGAGACGGCCATATGGGAATCTAGCACTTTAGCCAGTGTGCCACCTGCTGGCCCCACAAGTAACATTTTTTCAAGTCTAACAAAATCAACAAAAATGAGTACCTATTTGCAAAACATTACCCAAGTTAGTTTATGCCTCCACTGATGATGCAGAAGCTGTCAAATACACCTTTCTTTCCAAAAGTACTAACCCTAAGCCTCTGGATGCAAACCAGTACCTCATCAGCAACCCGATGCTCCGTGGAGACACTCGGAGGGTCCCTCTTAGTGGTCCTCGGCCATCATCAACAGTCTCCCCCAGGCCAGGAGTTCAGGAGCTATTCTAACTCCTCTCAAAATGCAGCACCCAACACCAACTCATGGCCAAGTTTACCACCAGGAGTGGGTTCACCCAATGCCAGAAAAAGGGAAAAGGAAAAGGCATCAGAAGAAGCTGGAATGGCTCAAGTCCCAATAACTACACCAGGGACAGTTAGTTCAAGTCCAGGACACGGCAGCTTGAAAACCACACCAGGTACATGTAGACAGGTTTCTCACTTTCCTTCTCTTTCTCTCTGTCTCTCTCTCTCTCTCTCTCTGTTTCTTCTCTTAGAATGGTGAGCACATATACTCTACAGCAAAAAATTTAAAAAGAAAAAATAAAAGACTCTCATTTTAGGTAGTATGACAAACTAATTCACCAAGAAATAACGCCTTCCTCAAACATCTGAAACCATAAACTAGAAAGGAAAAAAAAAAAAAAAAAAAAGAAAAACCTGGAACTAAAACAATGGCTGCTATTACAAGCTAATGTTAAAAACAATTTCATTGTGAGGTCTCTAATGAATGACAAAAAAAACTTAAAAATTGATGACTAGCATATTTTTTGTTTTCTTAAAAGGATTCCCCCATCGGCTGTGTGCTCGAGAGAGCGCCCTTCATGAGGGTTGGCCATCCACATCTCTGCACTCTCCTTTCGGGATTCTGGGCACATATGCACACACACCCAGTATGTTTTTCAACCTGCCAGGTCCAGGACTTGAACCGTATGGTTATCCATGTGGGATCCAGCTGCTTTAACCACCAAGCCACACGGGCTGGCCCTATCATGATCACTGACATAGCAAAGGAATAAGCACCAAGAATTCATGCAACTTGCACTGCTTGGCCAGCTACTGGAAGAAGATCAGGTCTCAGGTTTCCTACACTCTGCACATCACTGCATGATCAGAAACGAGTTGGAAAGTGAGAGACTTGTGTCTAAATCTTCACAACTTAATATCCCTGTGACCGTAGGCACGCAAATCCCATTTCCTCAATCATAAAATGAGAAGTGTAATCTATAGAACTCAGAGAAAGGGCTAGAAATTATATGTAGAGCCCTCAGTTTTACACTTTCAATAAATAGCAGTTATTACTGCCATTTTCCTTTTTTAGAGCTAATTTTAAAACATGACAATTACTTTAGACTTCCAAATCCACAATGATTTGGCAACCATTCAAACACAAAGATCATCACAAAAGAAAAAAAAAAAAAAAAGAAAAAGACAGACGCTGTATGAAAACCAGCAAGTACAAAGTTATTTAACAGCCGGCACGGGCTAGGCAGTGGTGCAGCGCTGACAAACGGTCTTGGGTGTCTGTGGGGGACCCCACCCCCACAGCATGCTGGGCCAGCCAGGAACGGGAGCAGGCACAGCAAGGGCACCGTGTTGAGGATGGCTGTCAGTCTCTGTCTGTCCCCTCTTAAGGAAAAAGTCAATTGTTGCTTTAAAAAGAGATCATGAGTTTGACTGATGGGGGGGAGCAGAGAGCGGCCCCCGTCACCACCACACTGCAGAGAACCCTGCCCCAGTCAGCCAGCTCCGCACCACCACCACAGGTAGCAAGACCAGGCCCCTCAGTGCTGTTGGCACCACGCTGGCACCACAGGCAGTGGCAGCCAAGGGGTCGGGACCTCACAGCGGTGGCCCTCGAATGTGTGGGGGCAAGGGACAGGGGAGACACAAAAGTCACATGTCCAGGGATAGAGAAAGGGTTCACCATGAGACACGGACACAGTCTCACAACAGGAGCAGCTCCGGGAGATGTGTCTGGGCAGCAGACTGCCGCAGAGAACAGCTGGCCCCGGAGGACAGCCGGGAGGGGGGACAGGCAACCGCTGGGGGGAGGAGCAGGTGCAGGCCCAGGCCTGGGAGCGCCACCTGGAGGCAGTGACTGCGCAGTAGGAGCGACACCACATCACCTCCAGGCCACACCACCAGTCCTCCGGGCAGTTGCTAGGGAAAGGGCCCAAGGATGGACACGGGAGAAGGAGAAATCCCAGGGTGTGTCTGAAGGCCAGGCTCAACACTTCCAGTCCTACCGCAACCAAGGGCCCCCTTCCTACACACGGAGACCCTCCTGAGGAGGGCGGCAGGTGAGGGTGCTGACTGCCAGGGTACACGAGGCTGGCCAGCGAGACAGGTATGCGGCAGGGATACAGGCCACGACTCTGCTGGCCTGGGCCCTCCTCACAAAGGTGGCCAGAGCGTGGCAACGAGGAAGGGAAGGAAAGTCCTGGAGACAGGGCCCACAGTCAGCAGCCACCTCAACGTCGGGGCGGCCACCACTCCAGTCACCAGCACAGATGCCCCGAGAGCCCGGAACCTGAAGATGACAAAGAGACCAAAGTAGCTGACTGTCAGCTGAGACGCGGTCTCCTCCAAGGCTGAGCAGAACCAGAGTGAGCTGAGCAAATGAGAGGCACCACGTCTTCCAGGTTACACCCCAACAAGAGACGAGTATGGTGCCTAAGACCGGCAGTGTGTGCTCTCACCTCAGTGACCACGGAGCTCGGGATCCCATATCACCTCCACAGCACACGGCTTTTATAGGTTTTACCTCAAGATTTCTCTTTTTGCAGGCCGGCAGGTGGCATGGTGGTTAAGGGCACTGGATTCCCCCATGGCAAACTGTGGTTCAAATCTTGGACCTCGTGGCTTGCTTTCTCACTTCCCCACGCCCCTCTCTTTTCACTCTGTCCCTCTCTGGTCAAAATTAAAACTAAATAAATGAAGTTAAATAAAATAATTTATTTTTAAAAAAGATTTCTCTTTTTGGTATTGACAAAACTTTTTTAAAGCCTTGTTTTTCTCAATAAACCTTTAAAGGATTATAAATTGGAACTAGCAGATGGCATAGTAATTACATCACTGGACTCGAACCAGTTGACCGCGGTTCAAGTCCTAGACCTAGCAGTTGAAAACCACACAGAATGCGTGTGCGTGCCCCAAATCCTGAGGAGAATGGCCATCCACATACCCTCCCGCCCCGCCGGAAGGGTGGTAACTTCTCACTTTCTGTCTCTCAAGTGAGTGCATGCACCCTATAACAAAAAAATTCCCCCCCTCCCCAAGAAAAAAGGGTTTATAAATTGTTTCATATTTGATCAAGTTGAGACTTTAATTTAAAGAACTTCATTTTTAATCTGTAATAAATTTACAACCTGACTTTATAAAAAAAATCAACATACTGCAAACACCTGTTGATAAGGATCATAAGTAATTTTTAAAGACACTATTTTGTCAACAAATCATTTATTGAATTCCTTCACTTACCTAGCACTAGAATTACGTCTGTTGCCAAGAAAATAATTTTTTTTTTTTGAGAGATTTTTCCTATAGGGCGCGTGCACTCACCAGACAGACAGAGACATAGAGACAGAAAGCGAGAAATCACCCCCCAAGGGGGATGGTCACGCCGCAATCCCTTCTCCTCCATTCTCCTCTTGGGATCTTGGGCACGCACGCACATGCGCCCGGCGTGAGTTTGAAGCCACCGGCTCCAGGATGTGAACCACGGTCGACTACGTGGGAGTCCAGCGACATAGCCATAACACTAACTGCTGGTTCCCAGAAAATAATTTTAATAGGTTTCAAAAAGGTGCCTCAGTAAAATTACCGATCCAGGCTCAAACAACAAGCATGTCAAGACCTGTATATCTGGCACTCTGTGGGACCTGCGACACTGATCATGCGTTCTCCTAGGAAGACCGATGAGAACAAAGGGCTCCTGTCTAGACCGCCCCACGTGCATAAAGCGCGGTGTTCCGCCTCGAGAAACAGCGCTCACCTAATAAAGCACCTTAAAGTCTAAATGCTCCGTTTCATTTACTCCAGAGTTCCACTACCAGAGTTCATGCCGAGGAATCGTCACAGGCTTATGTGAAGGGGGATAACCGGTCTCAGTCACAACACCGAAATACTGCTAAGCTCAAATCCAACGCGGCACACTACTCAAAATAAGCTGCGGGATACGCTTTTTAAATGCACCTAACAAAGATGTTATTGGAAAGAACAAAAGGGCCAGCTAGTAGCGTGGTGACGAAGGCAGCTGGATTCCACATGGGCAACTACGTGGTTCGAGCCCTAGACTCTGCACCTTGAAAAGCACACCAGATGTGTGTACACGTGTGCCCAAAGTCCGGAGGGGAGAATGGAAAAAGGACAGTGGAAAGCACCCCCAAAAGGTGCTTTCTCACTTTGCCACTCTCGCTCGCTCGCTCGCTCTAGCAAGTGCGTACACCCTACAGCGAAAAGAACAAAGCAAAACAGAACCAAGGAAACAGTAGCACGAGAAAGTGGTAAATATGATCAACACTAAGTGGGGAAAGATAATCGCAAGTTTGAACAAAGACAGGTAATAAGCTAGGGTGGTAGATTCCAAGAATATTACTAGACAAATAATAAGCTAGGGTGGCAGATTCCAAGAACATTAATATTGGTTTTCTGCCATAGAGTTTGATGGTGACTTCATTTTCCTTGAGTTTACCTGTCCACACAATCTTTAGCAATACAGAGGGGTTATCTTAGTAATTAGGTAAATAACTATTAAGAAACCGACATACTGGGACCAGCAGATGGCGAAATGGTTATATCACTGGACTCCCACAGAGTCAACCATGGTCAAAGTCCTGGACCCAGAGGTTTGAAACCCACAATGGGCATGTGTATCTGTGCCCAAGATCCCGAGAGGAGAATGGAGAAGGGACTACAGTATGGTCGTCCCCCTGGGAGGCGATTTCTCACTTTCTCTCTCTCTAACGAACAGACACCCTATAGCAAAAAATCTCTCTGTTAAAAAAATTTAAAAAAAAAAAAAGACATACTTAGTTTTACAGTCATTTCCCAATGCAAAAAAAAAAAAAAAAGTTCCTGTAAATTAATACAGCTATAACTGAGTTTCAGGTTTGTGTCCTACCTGGTGGGTGTTTTAAATCAGCGGTATAAGTAACTGCCTCCCCTTGGGGGGGCAAGCCGCGTGCAGAACTCTGAAGTGATCTGACTCGCCACCTGCTAGGGTGCAGCCCTAACTGGACAGCTCTCTAAACACTTTTCTCACATATAAATTGAGTTAGTATCATTTCTTCACTTAGACACACTGACCAAGTGCCTGAAACATAAAAGAAATCTCATAAGCAGTTCCATCTAAGCCTGAACTCAGACACAGACATGCACGCGTGCACGCACACACACACACGCGCGCGCGCGCACACACACACACACATACACAGGACGCGTGCAGCTGAAGTGCCGAGCTGGGGCCAGCTGCCGTCGGGGCACGTACCTGCTGCTGTCCTTGCGGGGCCTGCGGGGTGGTCTGCTGGCTGGCAGAGTTGGTGGCTGCAGCAGCGGCAGCAGCTTGCTGCTGGAAAAGACTGGCGGGGTACACACCCCAGGGGGTGACTCCGTAATACTGGTGAGGGACCACGGCCGGACCTAAAACACCAAGGGGGAGGTAAGGAAAGCGTGGACTAGTAAGCATCACCCAGGGTTTCCAAAGAGCACTTCGGACTCAGCAGACCCTACCATAAATACTAGCATAAGAGCAGGTACTGATTCGCTGCTAGCTGACTGTTAAATCTGTTAGAGAAAATCAGAAAATACTACACAAGATCTTAACTTCTAAGGTGAGAAATAAACTCCAGGCCTAAAGAAAGAAGCTAGTGGAAGACAAAAAGCTGGCAGTATCACAAGGGAGAATAACAGAGAAAAACTTGAGGGGTTGGGGTTGGAGCTAAAGACAGACAGAGACCCAGCCGTGTAGAGGTGCGTTTCTTCCCTGGTAAAGGGAAGGTGCAGCCAGTCAGCTGTGAGAAGGCTCCTGTGCTTGAAGTGACTAAACAGCTGGAGGCCGCTGTGCCCCACCACGCAGTCTGAGTTGCGCCAGGCCCGGCAGCAAGCGAGCCAGGAGCGACCTGGACTCCAGAAGCGGCATCTACTGTCTTCTGGCACAAGCCCAGAACTCGGCCTCCACTGCTCGGCCTCCAGGAGGCCTTTCTATTTCTATTCTTATAGTCTTAAAAGTCACCTGCCACCACTACACTCGAAACATTCACATATGAAATTTAAGTTCAAAGTTGAACACAAACAAGAACAGACTACAGCTTGGCGTGGGCAGCCTTGCCGAGTGTCCTGGACAAAGCGAAGCACGCGGCTCCATCCCCATTGCCAGTTCAACGTCCCTGAGACAAGTCACAGCTGCAGTACCTGCCACCAGAGTATGGGCGGAGGTTTACAGTCACGCAGGTGGCAGCCTCTGGTGGGACAGAGACACAGACCACAGAACTCTCCGATAAAGGTGGTGGCAAGCCACACCAAGGATGCACGTTTGTTGGCAAAGACAAGACTTAGAGTAGGCTCCTCCAATCGGCTGAGCCACATGTTCGGTTACACCTGCTTCGGGAAAGCAGGCGTAGCACACACGACGTGAAGCACTGACGACAGCCAGACCTTACACCGGAGCTGCACACGGACCATCTCACCTACCACTGCTGTGGCAGAGCAGCTGAGCATGGGGACTCTAGGCTCCATCAAAGCAAAATGAACTGGCTCATGTTTTGTTCACACCAGAAGGTACATACATATACATGAGACAGGGAGAAAGAGAGACAGAGACAGAAAGAAAGCACCCCCAGCAGAGCCTGGACATGCCACAGTTTCTTCTCTCCTCCATTTCCCTATCCCCTCAGGAACCTGATGGGCATGATGGGCATGCCAAAGTCTTGTGCGTTGTTCAAGCCACAAAGGCCAGAATTCAGACCATGGTCAGCCATGTGGAATCTGTCTCCCTCGCATAGTGCTTCACGGCTGCCCCACTAGGTACACATTTCTGCTTACCGCTTCAGTCTTCTACAAGTCAGTCAGGGTGTATCACTGTCCAGTAACAGGTTTTGCCATTTCTTTGACATGTTTTAGTTTGCTATGGAATGTGCACACTGGCCAGAGAGAATGAGAGAGAGAGAGAGAGAGAGAGAGAGAAGAGCTCCCAGGGGGAATGGCCACACCACAATCACTTCTCCTCTCGGGACTTTGGCACACATGTACATGCACACGCACACGCAGCGGGGGGAGGAGGAGAAAGGCACGTAAGCATTATGAGAGGACAAACACAGTGAAGCCCCTACCTAGACTGTGAAATGGGAATAACTGGTGTCATGCCAAGACGGTTACCTATAAGGACAGTCTCGCACGCTCTCCAAAGCCAGCCAAGGTGGCTTCTGCTGGGCATAGGCTGTTGCTACCACGCAGTGCTGCTGCCAACGTTCTCAACTGGCATTTCCACTACCAATACCTGGTCATGTGGCCCAAGGTTAAATTTAGAAAAATATCCCACAGCAATTAAATTAATTGACCTTGGCTCATCAGGATACTGGTTTCAACTCCTATGTGATTAGAATTAAAATACACATAGAAATACATAGGTCTGGGAGCCAGCAGGTGGCATGGTGGTTAAGGCACTGGACACTCCCACATGGCCAAACATGGTTCAAGTCCCAGACCTGGTAGTTTACCTTCTCACTTTCCCTCTTGCTGGTCAAATTCAAAATAAGAGAATGAATAAATAAAATTAAATAAATAATTATTTGAAGAAAACCAAAAAGATCCACAGTTCCATAGTATGGGTGGTGAACATTTTCTGTTAATCTGTGAAAGTACTTCAATCATTTCGGTCTGGCTAGCTGATGAGAACAAAGCATGAGATTCTCATTATCAAATAGCCATCCCAAAAGAGAGAGAAGAGCTCCCAGGGGGAATGGCCACACCACAATCACTTCTCCTCTCGGGACTTTGGCACACATGTACATGCACACGCACACGCAGCGGGGGGAGGAGGAGAAAGGCACGTAAGCATTATGAGAGGACAAACACAGTGAAGCCCCTACCTAGACTGTGAAATGGGAATAACTGGTGTCATGCCAAGACGGTTACCTATAAGGACAGTCTCGCACGCTCTCCAAAGCCAGCCAAGGTGGCTTCTGCTGGGCATAGGCTGTTGCTACCACGCAGTGCTGCTGCCAACGTTCTCAACTGGCATTTCCACTACCAATACCTGGTCATGTGGCCCAAGGTTAAATTTAGAAAAATATCCCACAGCAATTAAATTAATTGACCTTGGCTCATCAGGATACTGGTTTCAACTCCTATGTGATTAGAATTAAAATACACATAGAAATACATAGGTCTGGGAGCCAGCAGGTGGCATGGTGGTTAAGGCACTGGACACTCCCACATGGCCAAACATGGTTCAAGTCCCAGACCTGGTAGTTTACCTTCTCACTTTCCCTCTTGCTGGTCAAATTCAAAATAAGAGAATGAATAAATAAAATTAAATAAATAATTATTTGAAGAAAACCAAAAAGATCCACAGTTCCATAGTATGGGTGGTGAACATTTTCTGTTAATCTGTGAAAGTACTTCAATCATTTCGGTCTGGCTAGCTGATGAGAACAAAGCATGAGATTCTCATTATCAAATAGCCATCCCAAAAGCGCACGGGTGCCACCTCTAAAACCAGTCCCTCGTTTCGAGTAATGCAGACGAAGGTAGCAAAGGAAAGACCTTCTGAAGACAACTACAAAGACCACGCAGGCGAGCATGTCCTCAGCGACACAGTGAAGCGCATGCGTGAGCTTTGGAGAAAGCCTGGCTCTGCCACATGTAAACTGTATGACCTCACATGAAGCCTGTCTATGAGCCCCAAGCCCCTGATCTGTGAGAACACCTAAGAACTCACAGAAAAGGCCAGCAGGTGGCGGACTGGTCCGGGCACTAGATATCACATGGCCAACACCGCACTTTGAGTCGGCACCCCAACGGCTTGAAAATCACAGTGGGCACATGTGAGTGTGTGCCCAAGGTCCCCAGAAGAGAAGTGGAGAAGGGACTGTGGAGTGGCCGTGCCCCCGGAGGGTATTTCTCACTTTCTCTCTCTATCATCATTCTGTTGAAAATATGCGGCCTGTGGCAAAAATCTTATGAGAAAACAAAGAAAAAGACACCTAGGACAAGGCCTGACAAGCAGCTGAGTGTCTCATAAATACTAATGCTAGTTAGCAAAGGCCATTCTGCTTAGGAAGAGCCTCCCTTTTCCCGTATTAAGTATTTCCCATCACAAGGAGCTACAGGGTACCCTGAGAGATGCTAGGCTGTCTGACTGACGATCACAGACTGTACGAGACCTGAGAAGCGGCGACCTCTCACAGCCACAGCCAACCATGACTGCCAGCCCTTGGTGGGGTCTGCCTCTACACATGTGCTCACTGGAAGACGTTTGTCTACTGTCGTGTTGTACTGAGTCACTGTTACATTTATGGCCCCAAAACGGTGACCGTGCCAGGAAGAGAGAAATAACAAAGGTGCCCTGCCTTCCTTTAAAACTTTTGGTTCTGAGGCCGGCAGGTGGTGTGGTGGTTAAGGCGCTAGACTCCCACGTGGCCGACTGAGGTTCGAGTCCTGGACCTGGCGGCTTGCTTTCTCATTCTCCCTTTCTCTCTCTCCCTTGTCAAACTGGAGAATACCAATCAATCTATCAATAAGAGAAAATGGCATTGCTGTCTTTGAAAAAAAAAAAAAAAAAAAACTTTTGGTCCCAAGGGAGAGAAATAACACTCATGTGTACACCTGCAAGCAAATAAAAACATTGCAATAATTAGTGATCAAACACAAAAAAGGGAACTATTAGCAAGGAAGGCTTTCTAGAGGTAACAACACCAGCTCGGCGCTGCCTAGGCAATGAACAAGAAAAGCTGACTACACGGACCTAAGACCAGTGCCCAAAGACAAAGGCCTAGACCAGCACAGGAGCCACAGCAAACTGAAAATGACTCGTCTGGCGACGACACAGGTGTGAGCGAGCAGCCATGAGGAAGGGAGGTGGGGACCTCCACACACACTTTAGAGAGAGCGCACCACACTGAAGGCCCAACCCCAGCTGATCCGCAGGGTTACCTGGTAGCTTCTCAAAAACACCAGCTCCAGGGGCTGGCAGAGCCACAGAGGCTAAGGCACCGGGCTTTCTCGTGGGTGGCCATGGTTTGAGTTCCAAACCTGGCAACTTAGAACTCAGGCCAGAAGCATGTGCATGCATGCCAAGAATCCCAAGAGAAGAATGTAGGAGAAGGGATTGCAGCAAGGCCACCGCCCTTGGGAGGTGATTTCTCACCTTCTCCCTCTGCCTCTGTGCCCTCACTGAGTCCACGCACCCTATAGCAAAAATCTGTGTTTAAAAAAAAAGTGTGTGTGTGTGTGTGTGTGTGTGTGTGTGTGTGTGTGTGTAGTTACAACCTCAGCCAAGTAGATTGTAACAATGAGCCCTGTGTGGTAGGAACTGAAGCAAATCAAGTTAGGGTAGAAAAACAGAAATCAATAGAAGGTTTAAGCAAAAGGGTGAAAGGCTGCTAAGATTTTTATTTAAGACTGTTTTCCTGAAGAATTTAGAGCGCAGAGGAGAAAAGAGGCCAAGAAATTAGAAATACGTAAAAGACCCAAGGACCTAAACGACAGTAGGCTAGGAAGTAGGAGACCTGCACCAGGGAGGAACCCCCAAACGCGGACGAGCCCCTGGCGGCCCCGGGGTCAGATACCCCCTCGCAGTGTGGTTGAGCACTTGCCTTCGGGCACATCCAAGTCAGGGGGCCTGAGTTACTGCTACGCGAGATGTCAGCTTGCACTGACACCAGGAGGAACCTCCACTGGAGCCATGGACCCGGGAAAGAGGATCAAGAATGCACGCCCGTCTCAAACGCCTTGTTAGCAGGAGAGGAAAATCCCTCATGCAGCAGAAGGTCTCACCTAGTGTCGCTGCTGCGGCCAGTCCAGCTGTGTAGGGGTCCGTCCCTGGGGGGGCAGCGCTGATGATGTACGGGTTGGGGACAAACGCAGCGGGAGCTAAACCTGCTGGAAACACACCTGTCAGTAAAACACACCTGGCTGCAGCTGCAGCCCACCGGACGCCTGCACAGTTTGGCTATTAACTCCAGACTATAGATGAGGAAAGAAAGAAAAAAGAGAAGACGGGATAGACAGAGTAAAGAGGAACTTTAAAAAGTTAAAAATAACCCAATTCTAAAGATCACAGTGTTACTTATCTACGGTCATTTTCTTTCGCCTTTTTAAAATAAATGTCTAAATTAAAACTGTCATACAGTTTTAAGTCCAACAAAATTCCTAAAATATTATTAAAATTATAATGTGGGAAACAGAGCAACCTAACAGACTTCTATAAAACCATACAGACCGAGTTTATTTCCATTAAACACAGTTTTCCTCAAAGACTACCATCTACAACTAGACAGGCCAGGCCTGGCAGAGGTCCCCACGCCTGACTCTGGCTAACCTAGACTGGGCGTCGGCTGGCCCTCCCACAGTGTGTCAACCCCAAGACTGGTAACCGCCGACCTCCTCGGTCCTGCCGTTCAGGCGCACTAAGAAAAACTCCTGCTTCAATTCACGCACTCTTCCAGTAATTTGTTATAGAGAGACCTGAAGAGGGTCCGGGGACAAAACAATCTAGGCAATAAAACTCAAATGTCCACCAGAGCGCCAATAATTGTGACAGGAAAAGGGCAACGGCATGAGTAAAAACCAGTAGTTATATGAAAACACAGCTTGGAATTTCAGCACATACTGCTGGGAAAACACACTTAAAGATGCGACTCCTCCTCAGATGAGAACTTGACGTATTCACCGTCTATGCAAGCCCACCTTACGGAATAAATCTGACCAACCCTCACTCACAAAGCGAATGCTATGCCTACACCAGCCGGTACTCTAACCCAGACACAGTTGCGGTGGGCTGCGGCTGGAAAGGCACTGGAAAGCGCATGGGGACGGGCCTAGCGAGTGTGGCAACAAGGAAGAGAGCAGTAGAGACCAGTGGCCACTGGTCGACGAGGACCCGAGGACCGTGCCCTTCCCGGGAGCTGGGAGGCCGCAGGCGGGACTCACCGATGTGCGGCTGGTGCGCGGCGGCCAGTGCGTACTGCTGCTGCTGCGCCGCGGTGAGCTGCTGCATGGCCAGCGCGCTGGGCCGCGGGAAGAGCTGTGGAGAGAACACAGGCCGGTTAGAGCGCAGGCTCGCGGACCGACTTGCACCCGGCTCTACCAAAGCGTCAACAGCGCGTCCTCCAGTGTGGTGGTCTGACACACCGGAACTCTCGGACGCGATTCGAGCCCCATGGTAACACAGTCTTCCGTTTCGTTTTCCCCTGCCCTTTCGTAACCTCGACCCAGTGTGCCGGGGCCTATGGCTGACGGCGCCCCGGCCGTGCGTGCCTGACCACAAACACAGACACGGACAGCCCAAACGGAGCCGGAGGCCATCAGGCCCTAGCCATTTGCTGAGACTGACAGCACTCCCAGGGCTCTCCCGGCCCAACCAACCCCACCCTCCCCTGCCTTCAGAAAAGGGTAAGGAAAGTTGGTACTTCTGCCTCCTCCTGGGAATGGCCCTGTTCCCCTCCTGCGGTGAGCGCTTGTCCCAGTGAGGAGATGGGAGAACTGCCGCCCTTCGGGCCTCCAGCGCCCCTGCACCTACTCTTCGGGTGCAGCGAGTCAGGGCAGAAGCAGGGTTGCTACTAACCAAGCTTAGATTACAAGCTTGCACCTAGCAAGTCCCAGCTCCTGCGAAAAGGAAAGCTCAAAGGCCTTTGCAGTAACAATGTCGCCAGGTTCTCGCTGACTGCACAACTACTAGGAAACCAAGAGCACGTGTGGGCACTGAGCAAGGAACCGGGGACGCCGCCCCAAACCACCATCCCTGCCATCGTGGGGAAGCACGTTTCAGGATGACTAAGTTTGGTACAAAGGAGACACCAGCAACCTGATTCTGATTTGCACAGTTGGGTCTCTATTCGAGAAACACACAGAAGACATCCTCAGGTGCTGGAATCAGACCGAGACCACCAACTGAAAGGACCTCCCTGGACAGAACCTGTGACCTGCCTGCTCTCTCTAAGGTGTCAGAGGCCCCGCTGACAGCACTGGCTGATTGGCAGGTCCCGTGGACCCAGAATTACAGATGTCCTAAGGAGGACAGCATCATGCCTGGCTGTATGAGATGGGCGACTGTCACACCAGGTGGGTGGAGAGACCGTCCTGGGTTGTGGCTGCCTCTAGACCTCAAACAGATGAGTAGGCCGGTTTTAAATCAAACAAAACAAAAGGAGAGGATTTTGCACAAACGAGCCAGCTGCACTTCCTAGCTCTCTTTCTACATATTTTTCAAAAACCAAAGTAAAATTCATCTCTACTTTTACAGAACAGTAACAAAAAAAAAAAAAAAAAAAAAAAAGACTTTAGTGCCCCTCCACTATGTAGCCCTAAAGGTTAAGTCAAGAACAACTTCACTGTCACGGGGATACAAAGGAGAAGGGCAGCTGATGTGGCACAGGCCTGCAGTCCCGGAGACTTGGGAGGCTGAGGTGGGAGGACCAGGAGTCTGAGGCCAGCCGTGCAACACTGGAGGATCATTTTCTCAAAAAGAAAAATACTACTTTACAGGGATTCATTACATAGCAAATCTGTAAGTGAAACAGAAGAATTCAATCTATGAACAAATATATCAAGCCCTTGCCCTGCCAGGAAGTAACCCATTACCACTCCTGGTTAACTGGGACCCTGTGATTTCCACCACAGAAAGGGTTTTGTTTTTGTTTTTCAGGTTCTTTCTTAGTTTTTATTATAGGGCATGTGTGTTCACCAGAAAGAGACAGAGACAAAGTAAGAAATCACCCCCAGTGAGGAGGGCAACACCACAATCCCTTTTCCACCATTCTTCTCTTGGGATTGTAGGTGCACAACACGCACAGTGTACTTTCCAAGCCACTGGGCCAAGACTCAAACTGTGCAGTTGGCCATGTAAGATCTGGCTGCCTTAACTCCCAGAGATATGAGCAGTAACGGGTTACATGCACACATGTATACATCCATGCATGCACGTGTGTGCGTGTGTGTTGGAGAACACCTGACAGCTCCACTGAGCATGTACTGTCTCTTCAGTGGAGTCTGGGATCTCCCTAGCCTTCCAAGTCACTGCTCATCTCAGGGCGTCGCTCGTGCTAGCTGCTTCGCCACACTTCTTTGTTCGGCTGCGGTTCACTCAAAACACCTCTTAGCACCTGGTGTCGGGCAGGCGTTGTGACATGGAGCGGGGATAAAGACGGCATGCTCAGTGTGCAAGTCCTGAGCTGCCCTGGACTTACTAGCCACACACTCCAGTTCAAGGCCCTTCCAGCAGAGCATCTTCAGCTCACGTGTCTTCGGCACTGGTGTGCACAGCACTGTAAACGTGTGACAAGATGCAGGCGGTGTGCACCTGACACAAAGCGACCATCCACAGAACGGGGTAATTCTACAGAACATAGCCATGACTGTGATCATCGAATTACCACACTTTGAAATAGACACGATTCGGGCCGGCAGGTGGCATGGTGATTAAGGCACTGGACTATCACATGGCTAACTGTGGCTCAAGTCCCAGACCTGGCAGCTTGCTTTTTCATTCTCTCTGTCTCTCTGGTTAAATTAAATAATAATAATAATAGTAACAATAAATAAAATCAAATAATTCTTTAAAAAGAAAGAAAATAGAAACTTACTTTCCACTAAAAGGAAACAAGCTTTATAAGAGCCCCATATACCCAATGTTTGAGAGCTGATACATAATATCCTGGTGATGACCGTGAATATAGGAGGAATTATTTCCTTAGTATTTTAAAGTAAACAATTAAACGAAAGTAAACTACAGATCTACAGTTGGCAGACTGGGATTCTAGACTAGACTACAACAATCGTGGCACATTCTCTTTATGTGAATTGTGCATTAACTAGAAATACAGATTATTCAAAACAAAACTGGGTAATTGCACGTAACGGGTTCTAGGGGGCCCTGACAGGCTCGCCTAACACCATCTGCTGGCAGAGCGCTGAGCTGGGGAACAGCCCTCCGATTTCCGTGGAGCCAGCCAGCACTCCGTGAGCGAGGACGAAGCACTGCGAGGGCTGCTGCGTTCTTACTTCACGGCTGGCTGGAGTGACAGCAGATACGCACACGCAGACACAACATGGCTAGAACTCACGAGGTGGCCGAGAGTCCAACTCCAGGCAAACAAACACACTCACTACTTCAAGGATTATAAGGGTTTCCGGTAAATACGGAGGCCTTCCCGTGAGCATCTGCGTGAGCCCTTAGCACAGATCATGGGGTACAGGGCATATTTTACAGGAATCTCATTCTAGAAAGGACTCTGACAAGCGAGAAATCACCCCCCAGGGGGGATGGTCACGCCGCAATCCCTTCTCCTCCATTCTCCTCTCGGGATCTTGGGCACGCACGCACGCGCGCCCGGCCTGAGTTTTAAGCCACCAGGTCCGGGACACGAACCACGGTCGACTACGTGGGAGTCCAGCGACATAGCCATTACACTAACTGCTGGTTCCCAGTAATTCTTTAAAAAAAAAGTTCATGCTTGACAGGTAAGAGTACAGAACCTTACAAATCATACTACATTAGCTATTTTTAGATGAACTGAAATCTAAATAAAGAACACCAGTATTTCCATCTGATGAATGTAAACTGACATAACCCTGTAATGTTATAAAACCTAGGAATAATCTCTAAAACATATCTAAGGAAATATAAGCAGGCAACTGTACAGCGCTTACGAAAGTGCCCCTGCTGCCACTGCTCAGGCCCACCACAGCAGAGGAGTGGGACAAGTATGCACCAGCTGTTCGCAGCTGCTGCCTGGTAATGAGGCAACAACCAGGGGCAAGTGCGGAAAGAGAAGGGCCTTCCACAGACACCAATGAACATCTTAAGCTGACAGAACACTCTAAAGTGGATGTTCTTTCTTTCCCCCCTTTGGAGAGGTTTTTGCTATAGGGTACGTGCGCTTGCTAGAAAAACAGAGAGAGACAGAGAGAAAGCGACAAGTGTCCCCCCGGAGGATGGCCACACCGCAATCCCTTCTCTTCTCGGGATCTTGGGCACACACGCACACATGCCCAGCATGAGTTTAAGCCACCGGGTCCGGGACTCGAACCTTAGTCGACTACGTGGGAATTCAGCGACATAGCCATTGCGCTAACTGCTGGTCCCTAAAGTGGATGTTCTTAACCCAAGATTTTCATGTTATGTCTTAAATTTAATGAATATCTACATGAAACTCAGCAAGCTCCTCAATCAACGACTGTAGGCAAGAAAGCACACGGCCAGGAGCAGTGCCAGGCTGTGCCCGGAGACCACAGTGCCTTCGTGTTCCTTCATGACCCACCGACATCCCCACGGTGTGTGGCCCTCACCGACCAGTGCTCCTGCCTCTACTTCATGCACCACACGATAAAGAGGGCAACACCAGTGAGTCTGTTTTTAAATATCTTGTTAGCTATTTTATGTAAATGGTTTCCTTTACCCTGAAACATCGTTCTGAAGCAGTCCACAGGATTCACCCCACTGCGGAAGGAGCTCATGGCACAAATAAGTCTGGAGTTCTTATAATAAAGACATCTTATGAGTTCAATTCAGAATGGTAACAGTGACTAGACACGTAACTTAGCACCCAAATTCGAAATCACAGCTACCAGTGAACCGGGTTAGAGTGGGTGCGTGGGAACTCCTCTCGCCCTGTTCGCAGGCTCTACTGTCCATGTCACTGTAACACATACGAGGTCTCTCTTCTTGTTTGTTTTCATGCTATAGGACACATGCGCTCGCCACAAAGTGAGAGAGCAATCACTGCAGCCCTCGAGCCAGAGCGGACAACCATGCCACAATCCTCAGGAGTCCTGGGGGGGCAAAGGCCTGCGCGACTCGCGCTGCTAGTTCAGGATGCCAAGTCATGCTGTGTGACTTACACTCGCCTTGCATGTGTTTTGAACACTGCGTACGACTGTGTGTGCTGTAAGGCTGCACAGCTGCCCGTGTGGGGTCAGTGCCTTAACTGTCATGCCCCACTGGACCTGATACTGGGTTTCAGGGCACCAGTGCATGATACCAAACCAACCCCTAAGTCAGAGAGACTAGGACAGGAGAGGGGGTTA